TGCCGCAGCCTCATCAAGGAACAAAAGAGTTCTCGGGGGAACAAATCACGCAATCCCATTCAAATGAACTAGTCGCCAGTTAGCACTTTTAAATATGCTACAGCCACTTTAATGTAGTGCATTTATGAGTGTCTCTTGTGCCAAAAAACCACTTCGCACATGAGTACAATTCCCCACCCATTTATAATGTATGTCAGGTAGACATTGAAAGAGAAATTGATTTGATGAAAAATTAGCTATTCTCATCACGAGTCATAGTTGTGCATGTACAGCAATAAATAATATAATCAAACAGTCGCGTTTTTGTCCATCCAAATACTGCAATCTCTGTTAGTTTTTTTTCTTCATTTCTCTAAAGAAAATACAATAACGTGTGTTTGGACAAAGCATGAAAGTGAATTTACAGGCACTCGACAAATTTGACTTTAGCAATTTCAGTTCCACGTATGATCATTGCAATTTACTTTTTGCATTGCCAATGCAGTGTATTTTTGGTTATTAATTGAAGATTTGCATGAAAACCTATTCAAATCAAGAGGGAGACAATATGGATAAATAGGAAATGATAAATAAAGCTAAAATCATCGACATTCTGCAAATTCTGCTAACAATTTTGGCTTTATCCCCTGTAAATAAACTGGACACTAATTGAAATTTAACTCAAAGCATTATTATTCAGTGTTTTTGATGCTAATTTTCCAATGACATTCAATTATTTTAAAGATATCTTGAGCTCAGAATCACAGATGATATGTAAAAAATTGATGTTATGTTTAACTCAACGCTGTTTTTTAGCCACTGAGCTTCCAAAATCTTGATTTTCATTGAGTTTAATTCCACAATTCTCTTGATAAGGGAAAATAATTTCAATTAATATGAAAGATTTCCTACTTTTATGTGTTATTTAGTCCTATAAAAGTCACATAACCTAGAAAAAATATTTGAAAATGATGATCTGCATAAAAAATGATTTCTAAGAGTAAAATAACCAATAGAAATTGCAAAGCAGCTAACTGAATAATGTTAGTTGAAACCACATCCACTTTCTGATACTTCCGGCTAAACTGTACATCACTTCTGGCCACATTATTTCCCCCTTGATGCAAACTTCACTCTCATTCCTCACTCGTTAGAATGTATTCCATTGTAACTATAATCCAATCAATCGCATTATTGCTGCTTCACTTGAAAGCTTGCTTTAAAGCGATGTACGACACAAAAGCTTATGAAATTGTGTTTCACATAGTCAACGAATATATTAAATTCCACGGACTCTGTTAGGGTGAGTTTGGGAGAATTAATTTTTACAGAGCCTTCTTCTCATCACGCCAATCAGTGTCATTTGTATCAAAGAGCAAGTGCAATGAAATGCCACCGGATCCGCTGGATAGACGTGTGAGTGTTGGTGATTCGACTGGAGGGTGTGCGAAAATAAAACCATTATATTGGCGATACCGAGACTGACGCCTGGTTGCTCGGCAGGAGATGAATAGGATCATTTCCCTGCCAACCACAAACGGTAGCTGGCGCAACTTCAAAGGGGAGAGATCGGAAAGAAGATGCTCTCTCTCTCTCTCGATTGCATTCAACTGGGTGGTTGAATTTCTGCATCGCCATGTGAAATTCATACATCATTTATATGCGATGGTCTTTTTTTTGCTCCCTTCGCTTTATGGAGAGAAATCTCTTCTGGCGCGATATTCACTATCCAATCGACGTCATCATTCTGCCAGAGAGTGAAATTGCTTCTCGAAAAATGAATCAACGCGCGAGGCTTTCCGTTTCACAGTGAGGGGATTGATTGGAAAAATGCAAAAGTCGAACGAGACCAGCGAATCAATGACAAATGAAAATTTCGCGGAATTCACAAAACTACAGACGATAGTAATTCGCCTCAAAAATGTGCTTTGTGAACAATTTTCGGGGAGTTTTTGGCTGATATCTCATCTGAAATAAAAAAAAATTAATAAAACCGCAGGCTTTCGGGATGCACATGTGAGTCCTCTCAGAGTTCTCTCCGTTGTTTTTAAGCCCTTTTCCAATATATGAATTTTTGTGCCGAAAATTTGATTTTTTTTTGCTCCTGAAAAGGTGAAAATTGAAATTTTGTTCACAAATCCAAAATGTCATGTTCAAGACTATGTTCATAGTTTTTCCTTGTTCTGTCATGAAAGAAAGTTTGTCCAGCTCATAGATGCTACTGAAGGCTTCTGTTTGAAACATCGTAATGTGTCCATGTTATGCTAGAAATCTAATTGTGGCGTAGAAAATTTATCAAGTTTGAAGAGAAGATGATGGTCAGAGAAAGAGTAGCGGAAATTGATCAATTTAAAGTTTTATAATTGTCTGTACGAGTAGAGAAAGTGACTCTTAACAAGTGTCACAAGCAGAGGCCTTCATTGTAAATTCTCAGCTCGCATACGGGGTGATATAAGACTTTAATACTCTTGCGTGTGCCTCTGGGCTATTCCCATTCTCAGCAGCACTATTGAATACGTCGTTGTCGCACGAGTATTTGAAACTTCATTAGAATTTAATGAATTTCACAAAGGCTCAACAATAAAAAGACCAGATTTCGCAGTATTAATTAAGTCTCGCGAAATAATGAAATTAATAGTGACATAGTACTTGCACACAGTTGCAGGATTATTGTGAATTCATGAGCTTTTGTCCTAATAGCCTCTTTATTCTCCACTCCATGAAGTATTCACGCAGCGGAGCTTTCAGTCTTGCAACGTCACTCTGGCTGGCGAATAGCTTTAAATGTCGACTCGCTGAACACATTTTTAATGGACATAATTCTCGTCTGAAGCTCACGGGGAGAGTGAGAGAGAGACAAAAAAGTGGCAGGAAACAAAAAGAGAGACAAGCCTGAAATACAACAGCCTCTGCAAATTGCTTGCCATGGTGCCAAATTAATCCGAAAGTGACCAATTTACTCTAACACTCAGCCCAGAGATTTTCTACATAAAGTCCTCGAGAGTGAAAACATAAAGTTTGGAATGCCTTTAGAAATTCACTCAACTTCCACACATACATATGTATGTACATATCGTGGTTTATTTTGGAGATTGTGTTGAGCCAAAATATAAAATTGTGCAATGGAAAAGTTTATATCTTGGCGTTGTTTCTTAAACTCTATTTGCTGTGGTGTTGTGTGGATTTTTCCATGAAATTGTGTAATATCCTCACTCGCTCCTCGTTCATTTTTGCCATTTTCTTGCACGATATCACAGAATGAGACTACTTGAAGAAGTGCAGACAGGAAAATTCTCGAGTAAAAATATTTTCAAATCACATCGAAATAAACGCCTTTGAGATTTCTACCGGATTTTCTATTGGAAGGCTTTTGTATTTCTCAAGGGGGAGATAATATGGTCAAATGTGGTGTACAGATTAGTAGAACTTTAAGGAAATTTGGCAATTAATGCAATATATGGTTCCCAGATTTGATTATTTTACTCACAGAAATAACGTCTTATTCAATTCATAAATTTTGACATATTTTTTCTAGGTTATGTAACGGAAAATAAGAATTTTTTTCTAAAAAACTTTAGCGATTTTGAGTTAAAAATAAAAAATACGCAAAAGTCCAATTTTAACGGAAGTAAATCAAAAAATATTCTATGAAAACGTGAATTATTTAAATTCTCAGTTATATTTTAGTTAGTTTTCAGTTAGATTGCGGTTAGATTTCGGTTAAATCTTAGTTATTGTTTGATTTTAGTCTTGTTATAAACAATCAAGGAAGTCTGTAGTCGTGGGATGGATTTTTCATACAAATAGCGGGAATGTCAGGAAGTGGTGTACAGATTTTAGCCATATTATGTTTCCTTCGGTATTTCTATAAGCCGTGCAGTTGAAGTTCTCCTGAATGAAGAAGTTTTTTTTATTCAAAATCGAGAATTCATGAAGTTTCACGCTATCAATATTTGGTTCAATATTCAAAGGAGTTTTTTGTGTACAAGTAAACTTCACACGAATATATGACGTAGAAAGCATTTCTGTCAACCTCTTAAAATGCAAATTGACGTATGCGCATATAAATGCCATGCAAGAATTACGGACATTCTGCATCCCGTGAATATTTTGCACATAACAAAGTTTTCTATGGTTAGACAACTTGTGTGTGTGTGACGCAATATTGGGATGATGTACAATTCCACTTTGGAATGCAATTGGTGCGACGTGAGTTATGCAAAAGAAAATAGCCACAACTGCTTATTAATGCAAATTAATATGCCAATTCTGTTGGATGTATGGGCAATTTAATGAAAATCGACAGACACACTTGCATCGATGGAATCAAAATTTATTGCCCCTTCCGACGTTTTTTTCGATATGCATATTGTCACGGTTTGGGGCATCGATTTGGGAATCATCGCGGTGGGGGAGAAGTGATGGCAAAAAGTGGTGTTCATATATAAATTGAAGTGGGTGTCAGTATCAGTTTAATTGCACTGCGACAGTCACAGTTGGAAAAATCGTTGGCAATTTCGTGGACAAGATGAAAGTAGCACTGGTGAGTGAGTGAACACAACAAAGGCACTTTTGATATAACAAAATTTGTGTATTTGTGCGCCAGTGGAAGTGAAAAAAAGACATGTCCGGCGTTGCAAATCATATTAACTGCTATTCAATAACATTTCCAGGCGAAACACTCAAACACAATCAGTGGGAAAAATGTTATCAAATTTCACTGACTGTTTCATCCCTAAAGAGCCGGATATACATTTTTAACTGTGTACCCACTCTGTGCGATGGCAAAAATTGACAATATCCTATTCGAAATTGGCGTCTATCGAAATTCATATCGAGTCGGTGAAGTGAATTCAATTCGACGGAAAAGTCACTCTGTTTGGTATTGATGTCAAAAAAGGACAAAATCCAATTTTAAATTTTTTGGTTCCTCCCATCCACGCTCCTGCGTCGCCGGGAAAAGAGCTTTCCCTCCAGAGTCCTTTAGCCAGTGTGCTAGAGATAATCGCTAAAATCTGATTTTCCTATTCGCCTTCTCAGCGTCACATGTGGATGAGGTACATTATGTATGCCCGCAATACATGTTTGTACAGTGTTTTTCATTCTTGAAATTGTCAATTGGATGTGAGGATATATAACGGAATTAAATTCAAAAAGTGCTCCTTTTTCCACATCGCTCAGCCATCTTTGTGTGTATCCTTGCAGGGATTTAAGACCTCCTTATATCAATGAAATGCTTGAGTAATTGGACGAGGGAAGGGATTTTGGGCGCGGTTTTTGCCTCCTTCAATCTCAAAAGAGAGGAGGCACATGCAAAAAATTTTCCTGTGTGGAAAATGTGTGCAAAATTACTCCAGATATTCTCCTTCAGGGCCACATCCTTGCGGGCAGTGTATCAAAGGAGATATAGAATGTCAATTATTCCAGATGACTTTCCATTGAGGGACATTTCATACTGTTGTCCCACATTTAATTACGCATAAATATTCAAGAAGAACAAATCTGAAGCAGTCTTAATCCCCCATTTGTCCAAATCTTTTACAACAAAGTCCCTTTCTGCTACCACAGCATGGATTTCGGCGGACCAGAGGGAGACACAGACCCAAAATACACCACACAGAGAGAGAGTCACCCTCTCATGCCTCTTGGAGTCAGAGTTAAGTTGAAAATAATAGAGGGGGCGGCATTTTCGTGGGGGCCCCTTGTATGGGGCGAACCACATTCTGGGCGAATGCTTGTAAATGTCTCCACTCGCACAAATAGTCCCTCTTTATCTGCCATCCTAGCATTTTATTTGGTATGGAGCTTTTGTCTATTTTTCGGTCTGCTCCCCACCGCCGCCCCAAGACTCTCAACATGGCAATATTATTGTCGTATTTATCCTTTTCTCACTCTCTCGCTCGCCCACAGTGAGAGAGAGTGTCTGAGTTCCGTTGTTCGGGGGATTATGAATATTTTATACCCATCGCTATTCCATCGGCGGAAGCGAATAAGAATACGACGAAAGGGTAACCCAGCAGAACATGAGAGTGAAAGGTGAATTCGCTCCCCATCTCCTCTCTCTCACTCCAGACAGCAACGGCTGTATGTCACTGAATATCAATTTGATGTGACAATCACTGTGAATTCATAAGAGAAATCACAGGGGAAAAATATTCATCCATACACATGTGTATTTGGGTGTGTGTGCTGAAAAATTCTACTCAAACTGAGAGTCTCTGGCGAAACTTTAAGTTGACTCAATTTACTTGGGTGTGAATGCTACAATAATACGCCAATGATATCTGAAAGCTCGCAAGAGAAAGGAAGTTTTGCACGCCTCGAGTGTACTTGACACGTACAATATTATATTGCCATGCTCTCGATTTCCTCTCAGGCCCCCACCCAGCCCTCAGCGTGGCGCGTCATTTGTGGGGTGAGAGTCCTCCCCATGGAAATGCTACATGATATGTTTGTAAGGCTCAGTATCACATTTCCAATTTGTACTTTTTGGCCTTATGGTGAGAAATTGCCGGGGAAAAAGTACGTGATTTTCCTCAAACACACCTTCCGAATCACCTGCCTTAAGGTGCTTAGTCTCTCTCTCTCGCTTCTCTTCCCTTCCGGCTTTCGCTTTTCAATTACCAACCCTGAGGCATAGGATTGATTAATGAGGGGAAAATTCAAGGACGCGTTTCTTAAATTTCAAGGTCCTCCCTCTGCACGACGATGGAACTTCTCAATTGTGTTCCTTCAATAAATCAATGCATCCTTCTCAGACATCTGTCAGAGCCATGAAGAGATTTGCAAATAAATTCTAATATATGCAGAATCTCTATGATTTCACTGGTGGTCAGTTTGAGAGATAACTCTACAATGAAAATGTATTTGACTTTGGACATGAAATCAGAAATAAATGGTTGTCGATTGATTCCTTTCATGCTCTCAAGTGAGTGATTTTCTCAGAATAACGACCCCATCGCATGCGTTCAATTTTCTAGCCTTCAGCATTACTTTGCCTTTGACAACTGGAAGAAATTCCAATTGTGAAAATTGTCCTCTGCACAGGTTTTGCCGGTATTACTGCTGATGTCACTCCCTATCGTCTCCAAATCCTTCGGCATCGCCACACATTCTCCTTTCAGCACACCTTCTCGATTGCTTTCCGAGACTGCACAGCACCTGCTATAGAGATGTTCCTCCGCTCTCTCTCAATCCATCTCACAGCCTCACCTGTCCATCTCCCAGCCACCCACTCTCCCGAAGGACCCTCATTTGGTATCACCTTCGCAGAGAGAAACTGTGATGTCGAATTGCTGGAAATTGCACAAATCCATTTTCGAGAGACACGAAAGTCGAAATGATTAATAGTTGAATTTAAGTTGAAGTCATTCCTCACCTCCAATCCTATATACACCTCAGGAGGACTGTGAGATACGAATTGGAAAGTTATGAAGGTCCTCCGTGGGTGTGTTTGTGAAATATCCTCCAATTATCTCGCGTGGATGTTGGAAAAAGTATTGTTCACGTTGGAAGGAAATAAATGACTTCATTAAGTGGAACAGTTTCGACATTTCGCGAAATTCTGCACACTCAAATGCTATTCTTCGCTGGGAGAAATTTAAATTTTAACTTTGACATTAAGAAAATTGACATTTCAATTACCATAATTGCATTGATGCTCACTTCTTCGTGATAAATTGTTTGCTGAAGTGACTTGGGAAGATTCATTGCGAGTCAGAGATATAGAATGGCCACTTTGTCACACTGCGGAGCTGTGCTCCCCCCTAAAAAGATGCCATTTCCAGTGCCAGTGTAGCAAGAAGGACAATTAACACTGCGAAAATATCTAATCTGGGTGCAGAATCTTATTTGCTTGCTCTGCTTTCAGGTTCTGTTCTGTGGGATTCTCTCAGTGGTTTTGGCACGACCAGAACCACCCCGAGGTCGCTTTGCCATTCCACCACCGCCGCAGTTGTCTCGCCAGCAAGCTCTGCCGCAAGAGACTTACGGAGCTCCTCCGGCAGAACCACCGGCCAAACAGTACGGACCACCGGCCCAAGAGTACGGGCCTCCTGCGCAGGAATACGGGCCTCCAGCGCAGGAGTACGGACCGCCAGCTCAGACTTATGGACCTCCGCCGGAGAAGATCATCTCCAAGAACATCTACATCCACGTTCCACCCGAGGAGCCGGCGGAGTTCGTCCCAAGTCAGCGTATTGAAGTCCCAACGCCCAAGAAGCACTACAAAGTCATCTTCATCAAAGCACCGGCGCCACCCACGCCCACAGTCCCCGTGATCCCGGCGCCCATTCAGGATGAGCACAAGACTCTGGTCTATGTGCTGGTGAAGAAGCCCGAATCTCAGCCGCAAGTCGTCGTGCCGCCGGCGCCACCGACAGAGCCCAGCAAACCCGAAGTCTACTTCATCAAGTACAAACAAGAGCCAACTCCTGCGCCCCAATATGGTCCGCCATCGAGGAGATTTTGAGAGCTCCTCACAATCCACACATTTTCGATCCAGCGCGTGGTATAATTTTGTGTTAGCAAACTGCCTCTTGACACGTCCAATTCCAGCAACAATACCCTGGCTAAATGCATGTAGAACTGAGGATTAAACTCATTATTGCCCTCATTGTCCGGCCTATGCACATGTAGTGCGCAGACTTGTAGATTAATAAATTCATGTACAATAAACATCATTGGACTTTATATTTTGTCCACCTCGTTTGCGTAAATTCACACTCTAATGCAATTTTATCGGCAATGCATTGCGGATGGCCCTCCAAAGCCTCGTGTGGCGTGTGTGTATGTACAAAAAAGCTCTGCCCATTAAAGTTTAATTTTTCACTCAAATGTACTCAAAACCACTGCAATACACGCCGGTCGTACATAAACATTTGCATGACCATGCAAAATAGTGAAATTTAGGGGATTTCACTGCCTGTCGATCTTTTACGAATGCAGAAACCCTAAAATGTATTTCTACGTGCGCAGATTACACTTCATGAAAGGAATTGTTCACTGTTGGACCAACAGTGTTGGTTGCATCTAATTCACAAGGCAACATACAATTTTCAATGTTCGCTTTTCCAACTCAAGACACACATTTTCATTGTATCTCCACAGAATGGGAACATTTTGGAGCACAATTCTATACTGTTATGAATAAGAGATTATATTGATTGAGTATTTAGTAAAATTTGTATAGTCTTTTGCATGGACAATTAATTGCCTGCTGGACAATGTAAACGATTTTGAAATATCAAATTTTATCTCAAAATTTCCCAAAATTTCATTATAAGCCTATTTACCCCACTAATAAACTAAATGCCTGCAATTTACTCATCAATTTCCCACAAATAAATTTAACTTTTTATTGTTTTATTCGCTTTAGGAGAAAATTGAATTGCCAACCATGAAAATCACTCAATTTCCCCCAACTATATCTTCTATGTTATGTTTTACAAAGTGTCCATCGCAGTGGATAGCCGCAAGTGTGTAAGTTATTCACTGCGATGCATTTTATGCAAAATACTGGGGTAACTTGTCCCATCATGCATGGCGATTTTCCCAAGGCTTTGCGAAATGCTCTTCGGAGAAGTGTTCTCAACTTACCGGAATATTGTTCACAAGAAATGTTATGCTTGCAGGCGGTTTTGATGGTGGACTGGAGCAATTTGCATTCAACATATCACCCGGATCGTACTTCACTCTCTCTGTCCACAGTGTCGGCGGTGAGTGTGGCAATTCTGGAAATAAAATCATACATCAATCCATTGTTCTTGTCTGTACACATCATTTTCACGATGTGTTCATCTGCCATAGAAGTTGGCGAATTCAATTTTGGCCAGAGCGGAAAAGCAATATGACAAGAAATAATGACAATTGGCAAATGTAGGGAAATTGGTGAATTAATTAAACACGGAGGAAGTTGAGATAGAAGAGGAGAAAAATATTTCATGTTTTGGATCACATTGCAATCAGTCAATCAGTGGGAAAAAAGTGTCACAAATTGACTGACTTGTGCATGGTGGAATTTTTAGTTAATAAACTGCACGGTAAATTAATTATTCGGCGTTCGAATATGGAAAACCATCGAGCAGCTCATTTTGATCTCTCCACCGAATCATATCCGTAAATCAGTCCATCAAATGAATGTCATTTTTTCATCCATTGATTTGCGGTGGATGTTTCGCTTTTTTGCTCATCTCCAATACCTGTCCAATTAGCCTGATAAATAATTATGTGATGACTTTAAAGCACAAATACAAAAAATTAACATTTCATAAAATCGAAGCTGAAAATACTGCCAAGGAGTGTAGTTTTTCGGCATATTTGAATTTAAATTGATGGATGGTTTAATCATGGTCGATGGTCTGAGTCAGAGGCGCAAGTTTAATTCAGATTGATAGGCAGAAATTTTTTTTTAAAATAGAATCCTCCCTCCATTGTCAACCCTCTCGAAAAGTTGTCCTTTTAGAGACATTCTTGTGGTGAAATGTCCCAAAGAAACATTCACCCCAAATGTATATTCATTTTTAGTCGCAATCAATAGAAGTTGCTATGGTGCTGCCATTTTAATCAACACACACATTCCGCCTTGCTTAAACGCTGTTCCTACTGTCGCAGGGTGGTGAGAATTTTACGCCAGTTGTTTGTTGAAACTCAACTGAGAAGGGTGGAAATTTCTCAAGGAACCCCACCAATTAATTTGTGGAAGCCACATCATCTACATTCAATTATCCTCTCGTTCCCTGCAAAGAGCGGTGCCTGTGGTGTCATTTGAGGAAATCATACAATTTCCCTCTGCGTGTGATAGCTATATAGAGTGTTTGATAACTTTCCAAGTAATACACTGAGAAAATGGTGCAATCGAAGGTGTATTCCATGGAGCAAATTGATGTGCCGGCAAATTTTGAGAGTATCCTGAAAACCTACGCCAAAGGTGCGCCTCGAAGTCCTCCAAGTAACCCTCTAGAGCGTCCCCAAGTAATGCCCAATTCCCCATCTTTCTTTGAAGCTGTGATAAAGACGCAACCCTATGACTTGCTCCGCTGGTCCGCCATGTATTTTCGGTGTCTGGCGACGGACAAGGTGCCGCCGGTGAAGGATCGACTGGAGACGAGTTGTGAACACGGCCGCCTGACTCAGGGTTACCTCAAGGTCCTTCTCCGGCAAATTGGCAAAGGCTTCCACGTCACCCAGGACACCCTGCAGGACTTCTGGAAGGGTCTTTGCCTCCTGGAGGTGCTACTCTCATTATCCCGCTTCAGCACACACCTTCGCCTCTTCACGCTCTCATGCATATTTAATTAAATTACCCACCTCAACCCTTTTGCCACATTCCGATTTCTACCTCATAAATAACACTCTCAACAGGAGGATCTGCTCAAGTTCATGTCACTCAGTCGAATGCTCTACTGGAATAAGATTCACTGGCTCAAGTTGTTCGCCGTCATGGTTGGCAGTTTGAACAATGTAAGAGATTCCTCATCAGCTCAATATGTTCTTTCAAAGTGACTCTCTTGCGTGCCTCTGCAGAACTTGAAAGACACCGCCATTATGCTGTGCGAATTGCTCACCGAGAGTCCCGAAGGCAGTTCCGCGCCAATACCGCTCTGGATGTTCAAGGAGTGCTACACTTTTATCGCCCAACTGGACTGTTCACGCGAGCAAACACTTATTGATTCGAGGAAATTGCTGTGAGTCGTAGACCTAAGCAAATGGAGCGACTTGTCGTCGTCCGTCTATTCTAATAATTTATTACACACCTATCGCCTGAGTGCAATGGTCAAGGGTCCAAGGGCAGTTCAGAGACCTATTGAAGACCCAAAACTTCTTCTAAACTTCCAGTCAAAAAGTTTGGCAACTTATTAATTTATTTTATTATTTGAAAACTGAATTATGCGGTGAAAATTAACTCTTTCGCAACACCGAATGTCTAAGCAGACCTCAGCGTAATTTCTGCAAGACGCTTTGAAACGGAATTTTGGCAAATGATAAAATTTCACTATCTACCAATTGAGTTAAATGCCTTTTGTTGGAAATTAAAATGAAACTACCTCTCTGTGCTAAGCTTTATTTTCACCCCGAGTAACATTTTGCATAAATTGGCGAATTATTGGAAATTTTAGCATGCACGAGTGCCTGAGGATAACCACCCGCCCTCCCGATGGCTGAGATAAGAGTTATGGCCACATCCCGGGTAATTGTTAATACAAATCTCACGTCGCGGTCGCGTCGCTCCATTAATTTCCAACCCTTGGAGCACCCCCGAAGTTTCTCGTGGGAGGTTTTTGACCCTCTCTCGTAATTGCTTCCAATTAATGTTGCTCTGTCGCCCGTCTGGAGATGCTCTCAAGCATTGGGGTTGATGTATCTTCCACAGGGACAATGGCGATCTCGAGGCAGAAGTCATCGAGCCGGGCTGCCCGAGTCTTCCGCCCACTTTGGTGGCTCTGGTGGAGCAAATGGCCCTCGAGCGTGCCAACAGTCGCATCGAGGGGGTGGACGAGGAGGCGCTCAATCAGTTTCGACGGCAAGTGGACAACGTGGAGGAGATGCTGCGAGAAAGCGGCGATTTCAGCAATTTGATGTCCATACTGAATGAGGTGAGCATTGGCCACAATTGGGGTTGAATATTAATTTATCTAATAGGGTGGCTAATTCAAAATTCCAATTATTCAGGTGGTGCAAAGTGACGAGGTCTGCAGTGTGGTTAATTTAATGCCGCGCCGTGACAAACGTGCCGTGATTGAAGAGTCATCGGGTGAAAGCCCGGGGGCACACCTTGGCGATGAGGCTCATTTGTATGCAGAGCAAGAAAAAAAGCTGAGAGAGATTGGATCACTCTGGTCTTGGGTGTATCAATTTGCCCAGTGCACAAGTGACGACGGCAACAATAAGTCATTTAATTTCATCTCATCTCCCACCGACTTGGTCGCATTTAATGAAAATTCGTGCCAGCCGCCGGAAGTTGAATCACCATTAGCCGCAGAGATGGATGCCAAGTTGACTGACGATGCTGGTGATTTATTGCCCGACGCCCATCCGCCCACAGATGCTAATGAAAAAGCCCCGATCGATACACCCAATATCGATGCCATCGACGTGGCGGCCTTCCTGCGGGAGGCAGAGTCTCGGGGCTCCTTTCAGGCCGGCGACACACCTTCCGTCCTCGCCTTCCTCCGTCGCGACGATGCACCAAATGATCCTCAGCTCCAATCACTCAGCCAGTATCTAGAGCAATGCACGGACACATTTCAGGATATTAATGAGCTCCTCGGTGGATTCATGGCACACCAGAGTCCCGCCCCCGAAGGGGTGGCGGAAAAAATTGTCACCACTGCACAGATGGCCACAATGAGTCGAGAGGATTCATCAATTGATGACAAAGCGAATACATCTGACGAGGAAAAAATGACACAGGATGATCCCAATATAATTAATGTGTTCGCCAAGAGTGGCATCGAGGCGGATGAGGATTTGATCAGAGCTGCCATTGCTGAGCAAATGATACTCGGGCTCATTGAGAAGACCATCCGCGACTCCGAAGACACCCTGCGCGCCATTGATGATGTCGCTGACACCGAAGAAGCGCCCCAAGACGCTGAGAAGAGTGAAACTAATCAAGAGACACAGAGAGATTCCACGCAGTCTGATGGCAAAGTTCACGAATCAGCGGAAGCGGAATCCTTGGTGGAGAAAAATGAGGGAGAACAGGTGAGCAGAGATGGGTTGATGCTGTTGAGAAGGAATCTCAACTTTGCGTGATATTCAAAGGTTTGATTTTGCGCTCAATCGGGGAAAACTCTCTGTATCATTTGGCTTTCAGATTATCGTGCTGTAAATTGTTTACACATTTTTAGCATTCATAATATATTCTAGAGAAAAATTGTCCGTCTCTGCAGATGAAGAGCTCCACTGACAATGGAAACAGCTCTCAGGAGTCCAAGGAGTCAAACGCACCCGAGGAGAAGAGTGACCCTCCCGAGGAAGCGCCAGAAGGCGATGCGATGCAATTGGAAGCGGGCGGTGGGAGTGCCTCGATGGAGAATGCGGATGCACCAGATGGGGCGCCGACGAGGATTGAGTCATCCGAGGCGGACCCGGACGGAAAGGAAGCGAAAGAGGGTGATCAGAGGACTGAAAATGACTCAATCGAGCAGGACGTGAGGGGGAGCGATGAAGAGAATAAATTGGAATTATCTCCGTCCATTGACACAGGTAGTCAGGCCGCTCCACCCGAGGGGGCGGAGGCGGTGGGGTCCGAGCCAAAAAACGACCACAAGGCAACCGTGTCGGATTCATCGGGGGAGAGGGTGGCGTCTGCCCGGGAGGCGGGGCCGGAGAGTCCGCATGATTTGAATTCTGATTCAGGTGAAAAGGTGGCCACCGCAGAGGTGGTGAATGGAAATGATTCTGTCACCGATGCCAATTCAGGGCCATTAGTCAGCAAATCAGATCCACCGGATGACGAGGGGGTGAAAGTGGATGACAAGTCTGTTGAGCCACTCCAGCCTCGTCACAGTCAATCTGGGGACAGTGAAAAGTCACGCAGTGGCGACGGGAGGCAGAGGCGGGCCTCTTACTCCTGCACAGTGGGCCCAATCCTGGGAATTGGTGCAGCTGTGTCACCCGGGACCATCACTGCCCTAATGGAGTACCTCACGGAGCGCGCCAAGGAGCAGAACGGGATGATTTATCCGAGGAACTTCGACGAAGAACAATGTCCACCAATGTATGATGATGTGAAGTAGATATTGTCGAGATGATTTATGAACCACGCAGAATTTCGATTAAATTCAACACATGACACACGTGAGAATATCCTTTTATCCAGCCACTCATCGAGGGATTCGTCGGACTTTTGCATCCATCGCACTCCTCACGAAGGTGTAGCGACCTGTAGTTGCCAGACATTGTTAAAAGTGTTCCACTTTGCAGTTAAATATATGTTATTCTTCTTAAAGCAATTTGCGGACTTCTTTTATTTCGCATTTGAGATGGGAAAAAGACTTTCTCTCGCAGCTTCGAGTCTCCGTTAATTGAATAAATGCATTTACACAGGGGTGATTTGTTGCGAAATGTCAACGCAAATTAATGGGATGAATTTAAAAAGCGTGGAAAGCTATTCAACCTTTAAGTATCACCCATACTAATGAGCGCGGCAAACGCACTCAATTTCAACAGTGTTCCAATTCGGCTAATTATCGTGTTATTGATTAAAATAAAATTGATGGATAAATCATCAATGAGTAAAGGCTATAATCAAGCTGTACGATAAATGGCTTTAATATATTTTCAATTAGTTTTATCAATTGTACGAGGAAATATTGCTGAAACGAGACGATTAAAATATTAAAATTTACTATAAAAAGGGAAATAATTGGTGTATTCGTAATATTACGATATTGAATAGATCTCAGTTTAATTTCGTGTTGTATGAAAACTGATTGATTTGAAAAGTGCCTTTTCTATAGATCTTCATGGCAAAGTTCGCCTGATTTATTTATCGTTTTATGGGAAGTATGTATCAGTGGGAATCATTTTAGACGTCAATTATGCTTTTTTTGGGAAGGAAATTAGGATGGCAGAAAAGCTGGGAGGGTGAGTAGTCGATGATTTATGACATGAACGAGGAAATTTTGTAAACTATCCTGAAGCTGTATATATTGGAAGAAAATCATCGGAAGTGGAATGGGGGGAAATTAATGGAAAATGCTGCATTACAGCGAGAGATAGATTTTTCAGAGAGAGAGAGAGTGAACGGGTGCTGTGTTTTTTTTTACAGAGCGGCGGAAGCCTAATGTTGAGGAAGAAGGGCAGCACCTGCTGACAGAACGTCCTTTCGGGGAGACTTGGTGAAATTCTCAGTTCATGGGTGTGAAAAGTAGTTATTAAGTAGCATGAAGTGACGGTTGGAGGCAATATCGGCCACTTGTGTGAACACCAAATTCACTTATTCACCCATGAGCTGAGTACATTCTGCAGAACACCCTTCTGGTCGTCCTCACGTTTCGTCCGGGAGGCAGTGAAGGCCACCCGGCGCCTCCACTGGCACAGATGAAATTAATATACCATTTGTTTGGGCGAGAAGAGCGTGTGAGGATATCTTGAATAATATATTCATACAGCCAGAGTGAGATCCGGAAAATGGACACAGCTTCCAGTCTTCACCTGCAGAATCCCCCCTGCAAAGTGAGCTGTTTGATGGACAGTGCAGAAATCACTTCACTCTCTCAAACTCACTTTACACCGCGCGATATTTCTGAAGAACCTCACCTTTCATATCCCTCCATTACTCAATTCAATCTCCGCCAGTCTGCGATATCCCAGCATGCATTTTTCGCTTTCCTTTCACCAGAATTTCCCGCACTTGGTTGTGCACTTTTAGGGTGTGCAAACATTTGCATTCTGCATGAAATTTGCATAAATAATTGTTGCTCGAAAATATTTCCGCACAGTTCTTCTGCATCCTCGCACAATTTGATGCCATGAGGAAATTTTTGCACACTTGGTTTGGGTCCAACAGTGGAGAATTGGATTTAAATATACTCAAAAGCGCCATTGTGTTTCTCCATAGCCACGCAAATATTAAATTAATTTCTCTTTCCTTAATTAGGAGTAAAAGGTTGAGTGGTGAGTGGTGGCGGTATTTCCCATTCTGACTGCATCCAGCGGGATTTTTCCCTGCTTTTCCCAGTTTACTTTTGCTGCATTTACGGTAATTAAAGCATATAGCTTGAAAGCAATAAAAAGATTTTTCTCGTTTGCGTTTTACTGCCGCGATTAAATACATATATTTATTACATAATTTGATAAATCTGGATTAAATTTACCAACACTCTTCACTTCACGCTCATCATCATTATCGAAAGGAGATACTAATTTATTTAGGCCAAGTACTGCCAACAATCTCAAGTGTTTATCATAAGGAATTTCATTGGAGGATGAAAAAATGATTTTCCCCAACAAATTCTTGTTAACAAAAACGGATCAAATTTTTTCTGGCAATATTTTCTTCTCCCCTGCAATTTTGCGAATTCTTAGAATTTCATCTATCACGGACGGGCATGTGCACTTTTTATCAAGAGAGATTTTTAACGAGGTGAATACTAAATTACTTAGTCTTCGTTAATACCGTGTCTAGACGCATTAATTATCATCGAATTGTAAGGCATAAAAATGACTAACAAATTGTAAATAAACAGTAGAACTTAATTGCAATTATTGGTGAGATTCTTAGGTAGCTCTAGGAGAAATAGTTTCACTGTACTTACCGACAACTGTCAATATGTTTGTCGCAAGGGCGGTGTAGAAAGAGGGTGCGTCTGCAGTCACCTCACAAGTGAAATTTCCCGATAAATTGAATCCCACATTTCGCAGAGTTACATGTGTGGCATTCGATACTGACATCTGCAAGGAGAGAGAAAGGGTAGAAAGATTAGAGAAAATACCCACTTTTGTCGCATTGGAGACAGAGAGTCTTCTTGTCATGTCATGAGAATATCTCTCGAAATTTCGACGGGACAGAGATTGTGCGATTTCAGCACATTTTGCAGAGGAATTAAGTGGGCGGAATCAAGAGTTCCACTGGTGTCTGGATATGAGGAAATTCCGTGGGATTAATTATGTTTTACAGGTTGAAATATTTACGTTCAACCTCTGTCAAATTTTCTAATTAAAAATCCCCGAAACAGTGCAGGTTGGCGCGCCCTTCTGGCCTCGGCACTGAATTAATTTCGCGGCGTTTGCGTTGGCAGCGATAATTGACACGGATCTGTGTGTTTCTTTTCTCGACCTATAAATATCAACAGAGCAGTCGGATGAAAAATTAAACATTGACACTGGACAGGAAGACGTCGGGAGAAACAATAATAAACTTGTTCCAGCCCCAAGGCGGAAATCTTGTATACATTCACCATTTTTTTCGCACGTCACAATTTCGGGAGGCGCCACGCTTCTATCGGAAGGAAAATCCCTCATCTGCACCCAACTGTGTCTGTTTATTTATAATTAAAGTCATTTAATTAATTCCAATTAACATGTTGGAGGCAAAATTTGTTTGATAAGAAAATGTCGCGTCGCTAATTAGTCATTATCGTATCTCCTTCACGGCGGGATCTTAGACGTACGTGTGAGGCAAAAATTTCATGAGAAACATGCCACCTTGACGTCGGCACCGGCAGCCAAATTATCGCGCCTCCGCCACGCATGTAGACCCGATTGGGGCACGTATCAGAGGCACGAGACGCACTTGGGATTTAAATCAAAATTGATAAGATTAATACACGGAGCAACTGTTTAAAATCACATCAGCGCTAAGCTGAGATTAATTGATTATAAATTCAGAAACAATGTGTGATGTTGTTATTAAATGCTTTTTTGATTACAGTCATTCTCATCTCAATCCCCGAGGCGGAAGAGAGTGTTTAGTTTGGGTGAATGAGATGATTTCATCACCTTAGCAAAGAGTAATTAGCGACAGGGATATTCTGTGATGCCTACGAGAAATTGGATAGAAATCAAGATGATAGCGTGATTTTTATCAGCCTAGGATTATTTTTATAATTTCCTGATTACATTTGATAATGTTACAATCATATCTCTTGTAATCCAGTAGGAAAGAATCGAAAGAATACGTTATGCTATGTGTGAAGTGATTTGTGAAATCCCCTCAAATTCAAGGGTAAATTGGAGCAAATCCTAATGAGAGAGCAACCAGACAAAACAAGACTTTCATAAGTGCTAAGAATAGCGAAAATTGATAACGACCTCTTATCAGCCAATCGGGAAATTTTCCCTGGGTGGCCAAGAAGTGTCTCAGAGGTGATAAAAGGTATCCTCGCTGCACTCGACACTTCAGTGTCTGCCGTGAAGTGCAATGGGTTGGTTTTTGGGGTGTCTGATCGCCATCGTCGTGGCTCCAGCGTCGAGTGTGCCCGTGAAGGAGTCTCCCAAGGTGGTGTCAGTGCCATACAATGACTGCAAGCGCGGCGAACACGATCCCAATTGTCGCTACGTGCCAATTGTGCCGCCGAGCCAGAGACCGACTCACCCCATGGATGACCCCAATTGGATCCCACCTACGGGCCCGACCCATGAGAAGTTCAAAGAGTATTGGCTGCAGACCGGGCAGGACTTGCTGCAGAGGCAACTGCACAAGAATCAGCTCAACACCAATGTTGCCAAGAATGTGATAATTGTGATTGGCGATGGCATGTCCATTCCCACCCAAGCTGCCGCCCGGGTCTACATGGGCGATGAGAATGTTGAGCTGTCCTTTGAGAAATTCCCCTACGCCGGCCTCTCCAAGGTACTCACTCAAAGCTGCAATAATTCCCCCATTGTGACCGCAATCTCTCCCCCGGACAGACGTATTGCGTGAATTATCAAGTGTCCGATTCAGCGTGCACAGGCACGGCCTTCCTCTCGGGCATAAAAAACAACTACGGAACACTGGGGGTCAGTGCGGCCGTGCCATTGAGGAATTGCTCAGCACAGCATGACGAGAGGCACCACATTGACTCCATTTTCAAGTGGGCTCAGGACGTCGGTATGTAATTCCATACAGAGAATTTCCACTTTGATGTGCAAAACACAGCTTTGCCATCAAAGCTCTCCTTCTTACTCGGAATATTTGCAAGAATATTTGTTCACATTTCAAGTAGCACTGATGCTCAATCGATCTGGTCAGCTTCATTGCAATTTATTTAAAAATATAGTTGCATCTAAAATATTCCATTTGCAAAACATTCGTAGCTCTTCTCAAATTAATATTAAATTGTGCTTTCCTGGACACTTTCGTTGATCTGATAATGCGATACTGAAAGTTCTCTCTCTGAGGATGATCTGAAATTAATGTTTAATGCACAATATCAGTAGTTAATCTTGCTCTCTTGTACTATTTAAATATTTAAATTGCAGAAATTCAAACTCGAATACAAGCGTATTATTAAAAGTTTAAAATGGACAGCAAATAATGCCATTTTCTACGAATAACGCTCTGCTGAGGTGAATGTTTTAAAATCCCCCATCAGAGGGACCACACTTTCCCAAGCTTTGTGTATAATTTTGTCAGGGAAATGCGGTGCTCTGACTGCAGAGATTCGCAAAAGTGTGACGAGAAGTTTGGGTAAATCTCCCATTGTTGTGCCACTTTTTCTTCCACCGGAAGCTCCTTTTTGTCACATCTCAACTCGGCGGTCGGGCTCTTTGTGGTGGCGCCACCCACCGGGCGGAATTAAGTCACATTGTGATACATATAATGAAATTTCCGCAGTGGCGAGTAAAAACTAATTCACACTATCTGCGGCACGGAAGCCTCCGTGGCGGCCATAAATAATTGTATATGGTGTTTTTGTTGAAGTGGCGCGGAGTGCGGAATCGCTCGATCTGACAGGGACATGTGTAATCTGATGGAGCGCTATCCTGGCTCTTATGCTTGAGTGTCTCTCGTAGGCAAAGCCACCGGCATTGTGACGAACACGAGGATCACCCATGCCACGCCAGCGAGTGCGTACGCCAGGTCGGCGGATCGCGAGTGGGAGGCCACGGCTCCGGAAGGCTGTGACGACGTCGCCAAGCAACTCATTCATGGAGATGTTGGCAGCAAGATTAAGGTATTGTATGGCAGATGGAAGCAATTCCTTGTCGTGCGTGTGTTGACACTCTAAAACCACTTGCTTTATTATTGTTTTAAGCATCCCTCGTGCCACTTGTCTTGCCACATTTTCTCAATTTACACCCTCAGCACACAATGCCACCCTCAGACCATTCATCTTCCTCTCTCACTCACTGGAGTGTCTTGAAGTCATCGGGATAGTGAGGTCTTTGTACGGTGAAATCAGGACAATTACGCGCAATATTGTACTATTTCACACAATTATGAACACGTTAATGAGGTAAACTGCGAGACCTGACAAGAATTTCATCCTAATTCTCAAGGAAATATTTTGATCCCGACTTTCTGCCATCATTGCGTATTTTGTTCCATTTTTACTGCACACGGTCTTTACTTGCGAGAGCGCAAATCCTTGGGAAAACGCAAAATCTGAGCAAATACGATAAATTAAGTTGATTCTGGCACGCTGCGTGATATTTTCAGGTGGTGCTCGGCGGCGGCTGGAGGGAGTTTGTTCCATCAACAGTGGTCGATGACGAGGGAAATGCTGGCTTCCGGGCAGACAATAGGAATTTGATTGAGGAATGGCTGAACTTGAGGCAGCAAAACAATGCAAATGGTGTTTATGTTACCACGAGGGTACGTTTCGTCACATCCTCAGACTCCCTGGGCAAACGCAATCTCAACAGCATACCTGTATCTCACCACCTCGATACACACCCATTAAATACCTATTTACCCATTGCTTGCATCCCGCCCACACACACACACATTTTCCATACGAGATTGCCTTAAGATGGGAATTTATAATTTCCCTTCTTCACCGCAATTCTCTCGCATTTATATTTTATCACGGTGCCTTTCTCACCATCCACCCTGCAGGATGAATTATTAAATGTCGACGTGGAGAGAACTGATTACTTGTTCGGATTGTTTGAACACTCCCACATGTCGTACGCACTCCTGGCGGATAAATCAAAAGAACCCAGCCTGGAGGAGATGAGCCAGAGAGCTGTGGAGATGCTGAGAAAGTATCCCAATGGATATGTCCTCCTCGTTGAAGGTGAGACCAATTCCCTGCCAAGCGCACTCCCCCACATGGGCAGCAAGTAAATTTGCAGTCCAGAGACACTTGTCCGCCCGTCTTGGCAAAAAGGGTCCCCAAATCTCTGAATGTTGAATTTCAGGGGGTCGAATTGATCATGCCCATCATCAGACGTGGGCTCGATTGTCACTACCAGAAACTGTGGAGTTCCACAAGACTGTGGAGACACTCAAGGCGTTAACAAATGAGGAGGACACCCTGATTGTGGTCACAGCTGATCACTCCCACACAATGACAATTGGAGGATATCCGGTGAGTAAACTTCTCTGGGTAAATCCTCCCACATGCTCTCTTAGGCACATGCAGCCCGACCCCACAATCCTCACCGTCTTGCGGAACGTGATAGAAGACAATACCGCACAGAAGCCTCGTCTTGCTTCCGTGTCGGTGAATGATGACTTCTGTAAACATGTGAAAATGGATTTGTCAAATAATTTATTGTCGTGTATATGGCAAAGTGACATGGATTGAAAATGCCTCGCACAAATCCATTTATTTAGTGTTTTTGGTGGTGAGCTCTCGGGGCAGATGCCATGGGGAGACAGAAAAAGAGCGGGCTCATATCTTCTGCCCAGGCATCCGCTCCCTCTCCACCCGTCGCGCACGTATTGATCCACTCTGTGCAGAAGAACAGTGCTTTTAAAATTTTAATGGTCCTCCCAGTGGACATTTTTGCGCCTACACGCTGTTGGCTGTGAATTACTACATATATATGGCGTTGGACTATTTTCAGCCCAGAGGAACAGATATACTGTCGAAGGGGGACTTTTCCCGGGAGGACGCAAAACCCTTTTTCACACTCAACTACGCCAATGGATTGGGGTAATTCTTTACAATGCTTTCGTTTTTCTTTCCGCCCAATGACAGAAGCACCCCTCTTTTGCTCGCATGCCCCCAATGACCCAGAACCACCCCGAAGCGCCATGATTTTCAATTGGATCGAATGTCTGATTTTGCCTGAATGTTTAATGGGAAAAGTGGAAAAGTGCAGTAACAACAAATCACTGTTTCCGAGATTAGTTGGAGCTTACTTTGGTTACTCTGTGAATAGAGTGAATTTAATTAGATACTTCGCAGTTGTTTTAGGATGATATTTAGTTTGAATCCTTTGCTCTTCGATTCCGCCAGATTCTTCGATCACTTCCACAAGGACGGGGGCCGCAAGAATCCGCTGGGGATGCCGTACAGAGACGCCCTGTTCCGCCACCCGGCCACAGTGCCCCTCGACTACGAGACCCACGGTGGTGATGACGTTGGTGTTTTCGCAATTGGGCCCTGGGCACATCTGTTCACTGGTAAGTTTCCCAATTACATATCAGCGTGTCTCTTGCAAGTTTTCATTTACGGAAATCCAAAATGCACAAATATATGATACACTGGCAACTTGAGTCACACCAAAACTCTGCCACATATCCTGGAAAATACTTCTCAAGGGATGCAAGAGTTCGGGTTGGTGGTGGTTAAACTTTTGCTGAATTAATTAATCATGCATTTTGCACAAACAGACTATTTACCCAGCACACATTTTCATCTCACTCCCAGGCTTGAATGCTCGGTAATTTTGTCACTGCAATTCAGCATATATCCCCTTCGCATGGCATTTATTGCGGAATTTGCGAAAGTCATATTTGCGATGCTGAACCGCATTGAGAACAAGATGTTTAACATGTGATGCAATTTCGCAGGAACTTACGAGCAGCACCTCATAGCTCATGCCATGATGTACGCTTCGTGCCTGGGTGACGGACTCAAGGCAGATCAGTGTGATGATGCATCGGGATTAAGTGGATCACTGGCCCTTCTCCTGACCTCAATATCTGCACTGCTAATCCGCTACATTTAAGTCGGTGCGAGGGATGGAAAATGAGAGGAGAGAAATGATGAAATGCAATAAAATCTTCACCCTCAACAGCATGGCGTCTCACGAGTCTTATATCATACTCCAAGTGCAGTGTGCATTATTTGTAATACAATTTGGAAAAAGGGAAGATAACAATGTTCTTCAGGAATAAACTTCATTTGTATCATATTTGCTGGCTTATCCGCCCCGTCACTCGTTGTTTCCCACCCTTCAAACGGAAAAGTTTTATCTTCTCCTCCCCACCCGAGTTATCTGTAATACACTCTTCGCCTCAAACATCGGAGATGCTGTGGGATTTTCTATTTTGAAAATATTTTCATTAAGCGGATAGAGAGTAGGATTGGGCGGGGTCGGTCTGGGCGAAGGAGCAAAAACGAAAGACAAACTGATGCACGGAACTCTGTGAAGAGGGCGAGAAAGAGAGCTTCAGATATTTCCGTAATGAGACTTTTCGAACTTCACACATGGACGATTTCATTATCTACGAGAGATTGAGGCTACAGAGCCTTCAGTTGGAGTCCAAACTCAGTAACACTGGTCTGTCGGTGAGAGAGAAATGGATTTGGTAATTTAGTTTGATGTTCTCCACAGTGCTTGTTCGTCAAAATCGAAACTTTAACGTATTTGACTTGCTTCGCACTGTTGAGGAAAGGTTTTTGTATATTGTTACAGAACAAATGGCGAGACAATGTACTCTGGGGGTTCAGAGATAAAAGGTTAACTTTCCAATCCACCCCACTTTACTTGCCACTCCCACTCGGACAATATTCTTGAGAAGCCAGAACACGCCATCGAGAGGTTCTCTGATCTTCTGACGGTGCCTCGAATGTCTCATGGCGATGTGTACAGAAAGATGGGAAAGTTAACCAAACTTCCATCCTCAATGTTAAACAAAACACTGGGGCGAAACAGGGCTTTGGAGACACCCACACTTTCATTTAGATTGTAAAACTTTTATTGGGTGCACTTTTTCGTCATCGCCTCTTCATTCTACGTGCTTTCACTGAACACCCTTTCGTGCAAAAACCACCACTCGTGCTACTGCAAATTGAGAAGCTTGTGGCAAAAAAGTCCAAATCTTTTTAACTCTTTACCAGTCTAATGGAGCCAGCAGGGATGGGAAAACTCCACCTGACCTCCATACCCATTAGCTTTCTGGCACACCTCACTCGATGCCACGTAATTTCAGTTATATCACTTTGTATGCACAACAAGCATAGCCATTGAGCTAACTTGTTGGCAGATGTGTGCTTCTCAGCATATCACAACACCCAAAAATGCTAGTGAGCTCCATTCCAAAGCCCCAAACATTCCTCAGGCTGTGCGTTGCAGGAAATGCTTCATGACTGCCAGTTTTGGATATGCGACAAATTTCAGCAGAAATCTCTCTGCTGTGGCCAGTTTTTCCTACGATTTGTGCACCACACAGAGTGAATGAATTTCGGTTCTCCCAAAAGGGAAGTGGCATTTATGCGTGTCGCTGAAGGAACAATATAACACAACAAAACCACATTGGAAATGCTTCAAATGATGGAATTTAATCCTCAATGAGCTTTAAGCTCTCTTTCATTCACATTCTTCCACCCCAACCCCCCAGGAGGCTCAATTAACGAATGCGGGAGTGCATTGATGTGGATGCTTTACGTTGAATTTCACCCGCCCGTTCGCCCCACACGCGTGTGATCAGGGTTTGGATTTAAAATCGGAAATTCGACTCACAAAAAATCCCGCCAAATCGTCAAACGTAGGCATTCGAAGAATCAAAGCTCAATCACTTCTCATTTATATGATAGTTTGATGGGTGATACAAAAAGTGTGAATTTGCACTTTTTCCCGTAGCATTTAACTCAATTTTGAAGGAGTATGAAGCAATAATTGGAGTGTTTTTCAGTGATATATAATCGCTACAGGCATGGAAAAATGCTCTGATGAGTTGATAGTGAGATGAGAATGCTTTAACTCCTGCTTACAGAGGAGCAATATTTCTAGAAAATGATAAAATAAAAGCACAATGGACAAATATTTGCATTTATAGGAAGAGAAAATGTTTTACAATACTGAGTGTCAGTGCGTTTTCTTAATTATTAACCCATATCTTATCTCTTTTCCACGGTTATCTCAACTCTGAGCTCACGCACAGTGAATCAGAGCGGATGAAGAGTACGGCTATTGGTAATGAGAGCAAAAGCCATGGAAATGGAGTGATTTAACCATGACTTCCATGGAGGAAGGAAGAGAAATTCAATTTCCGATCCACTCTCCATCGTGGCGAAGGTGGGTGAGAATTCATCAGCTTCACGACATCATCATCAGTGGTTTCGCCAGCACAGGCGATGATCCCCTCATGAGAAGCCGATGGGAGAAGTCTAAAATGGTTATGTCATGATTTATTATTCCCCCAAAAGCACACATCACACCGCGTCATATTAAGTCTTCGCCGTTTCCACGGAGATTCCGTTCGATTTATTGTTTCACAATATCTGGCAGGAAGGTTGTGCATTGTTGATCACAGAGAAATGAGTGAAGAATGAGATATCAGGCGAGATTGTTAGCGAAGCTGGAAAAATGATTAAAGTCAGAAGATTCGCTGGGAGACAGTTCGTTGATGTCAATTATTTTTGTAATTACTCCTCTTAATTATATTCTTTTGCTCTGTCGTCAGGGACTTTAATTAATGTCTCTGTGAATTAGCATGGAAACATGATGGAAATCAAAGCTCCTGCTCTCATGCTCACAAGAAGGGCAATCGTCTTCCGCTTCCCCTATCACTTTCCCAGTCACTTTCACACTTCCACCCACACTTGCCGCCTGTGTCGCTCTCCAGACATTCGCTGCAAGCTTCCAATGCACGCCTTTCCATGTACAAGTCACTGCGCTTTCCCGTATCTGAGCCACGCCGGGGTCTGTGAAGTGTCGCGCGAAAGCAAGGAGAGCACGAAGAGATAAGGAGAGTCATACGCTGTGTATGCAATAAGTTAGTCGATTTGGAAAGCACTTTGTCATCCTCGATAATGTACAATTTTTTGCTTTGGCGCCTTTTATGAAAATTACTTTTTAATTTATCGTTGCAGTGCGACGTTAAACGGCGGCAGCCACCGTGGATAATTTCTACATTGCCTTTCATGCCACACCATCATCATTAGACTCCTCTCGTCCCCCTTTTTCCCGCCCAGCCACTGTGGGTGTACTTCCACTGGGTGGGAAATGGTGAAAATACGAGTCAGGAAAATAGTATTAAAGGAAAATTTATTTAGAGGGCACATAGGGAAATTCAATTATTTTTTATGAATCTAAATTTCCAGATTCTTTTCTTCAGCACATTTTTTCCCCACTCGCGCCCCCCAGCAAAGGGGCGCTTTTTTTCTTGCTATCGCTCCACCGGGACACCCTCTGTGATTTCCACCCTCAATTGCCTCCCTTGCCAGATCTTCTCTCAGCCCGTCGTGCCACTTTGGCGGATCACAGTGAAAAATTTTGATGCACGAAAACTGACTCTTTCCCACCCTTAAATGCTATGTGTAAGAGACTATATGTATAGCTCTGTGCTTTTTATTATGAGACAGAATGGATGGGAAAATTTATGCAGTTGCGAAGATCAAACGATTATGTATGGTTAATATTCTAATTAAAATTTTGTACTTTTCACCAGCGACTGGCAATGGAGCTCCTCTCAGGGTAATTCAGCAATGCTAATTAATGCTCTCACATGGAGCCTTTTATCGCTGAAACTTTTCTAAGTGGAGAGGATTAAATTAATCCTTTCGCTGTTCGGCACATTTCAATATATTGTTAAGTCCTGAAAGTTTCATAATACCTGAGCATGAAATGAAATACAACTTTTGTTGGCCTCAATTCCTCTCGCCAGAATTGGTTTTTCCACCAATTTCCGGAGATTTTTAAAAATGCCTCACACTCCGAAAAAAAATCTAAAACACCCCTTTCAAATTTATTACATAATGTGTCTGCTTTAGATCCCATCCAAACTCCCAGAGATTATATCATCTTTATTCATGCGCCACCCTGAGATTCTTCCCCTTGACTCTGTCGACGGGGTTGTAATAAATTTGTATTTAAATGTAATAAAGTGATAAAAAATCATCGCTTCAGTGGCGAAATGCACAGGCACGGGTGAAACCCCCATTAGTGTGGAAAAGAGGAAAATTCCATTTTTAAGCCATATATTGGTGACAATGTTGACAGATTTTGATAAATTACATCTGCTTCCACTGAATTCCTTATGCTTCTGTATTGTGCATGAGCACGACACGGCGGAAAAAAAGTATTCACTCAGAGATACAGAGCTCCACTGAGAGATTGGGGTAGAAACACCCACCCCCAAATTCGCCCCAGCCAACAGAGAAAAATCGTCAACACAACCAAATGCGATGTTGTTCATGAAAAGTGCTTCGTGATGAATATGATTTATATTTCTATCATCAAATATGTCATGAGTCAAGAAAAGTGATAAAAGAATCTACAGCATTTTTAGCGTTTCTCATTCAATTTTCCTCGGCTCGCTTTTTCCATCCCTTGGGTCGCCTAACGCGCTTTTTCCTCCCTCCTAATTCATAAGGACATTAGGATGGGGAAGTCCCATTTTCCCCATCATCGATATCGATGAAAATGGATGGAAGACGAGTCAACCATTGCGCGAATGTGCGGTGTTTCGAATCCAATTGTCGCATTCAACGATGGATATCTCAAGGCAATTCAACTGCCACAGGAGTTGTTTTTCTGGCAAAGGTCTTTCGGGAGAAAACTGTTGATATGCATAGATTGTGACAGGGATTGTGATGTTTGCTCACCAATGGGTAATCAATCAAAAAAATTAATATCAATCACATAATAAGATACATAATAAGAAACAAACATGCAAACACTGCCGACTGAAAATGCTATCATCCTGTGCATGTTGTCGGAAAACCTTGGCGCCGATCGATATCCTTCGAGAGAGCTAATATTGGAAATAAATTGAAAATGAC